TGTCAGATCCACTGCTAGATGGGTAGACACACAAATAATATGAAAAAACAAGGGAACAAATTGCCCCAAACAAACTAATATGTTCCAATAATAGAATCCACTGACACCACAGTGGAAGAAACATCAGAAAAGGAGTTTAGAATGTACATAGTTTAACTAATCCTCAAGGTAAAGGATGATGTAAGGAATGAAATCAAGAGATAAAATTCAGGAGATGAAAGATGACTTCAATAGGGATTAGGAAAAGAAATCAAGCAGAAATCCTTGAAATGAAGGAATCAATAAACCAAATTAAAAATTCAATAGAAAGCATCACGAACAGAACAGACCAGTTAGAGATGAGTGTTTCAGGCAATGAAGACAAAATATATAATCTCGAAAATAAATTTGATCATGGAAAGAAGATGTTAAGAGACCATGAACAGAACTTCCAAGAAATATGGGATAACATGAAAAGACAAAATTTAAGATTTATTGGGATAGTTAAACGTTCAGAGACACAAACCAAAGGAATACACAATCTTATCCATGAAATAATATCAGAAAATGTCCCAAACCTAAAGAATGAAATGGAAAATCAAATACAGAAGGCTTACAGGACTTCAAATGTACAAAATTACCACAGACCCCCACACCAATGCTCATTATTATGAAAATGCCTAAAAATATATCATTCAATATGGATTACTAAATAAGCAGGGGTTTCTAGCGTCATATCATGTAAAGTAGACTTCAAGCCAAAATTAATCAAGAGGGACAAAGAAGGTCACTTCATACTGTTTAAAGGAATTATATGTCAAAAAGACATAATAATTGTAAATATTTATGCCCCAAACAATGAAGCATCTACATACATAAAACAAAACCTTCTCAATTTCAAGAATGAAATAGACCACAACATAATACTGGGTGACTTTAACATACCTCTCTCATCACTGGATAGATATTCCAAACAAAAACTAAACAAAAAAACTGTAGAACTAAATAATACAATCAATAATTTGGACTTAATGAACATATGGAGTATTTCATCCATCAATGATCAAAAATACTTTACAGATCCTTCTGTAAAATAGACAATATATCATGCTACAAAACAACTCTTAGCAAATACACAAAAAAAGAGATAATACCTGACATTCTATCATAATACAATAAAATTAGAAATCAATGATAAAATAAAAAATAGAAGCTACTCTAACATCCAGAGACTATAATATGCTATTGAATGACCAATGGATAGCAGAAGAAATCAGGGATGAAATTCAAAAAATACTTAGTAAATGAGAATAACAACACAACATATTAAAATCTTTGGAACATTATGAAGGCATTCTAAGAGAAAAGCTCATTGCATTGAGCACATTTATTAAAAGAACAGAAAACAGCCAAATAAATAACCTAACATTACATCTCAAAGCCCTAGAAAAAGAACAAATCAACACCAAAAGCAGCAGAAGACAGGAAATTATTGAAATCAATGAAACTGAAACAAAAAGAAACTATTCAAAAAAACTGACAAAACAAAAAGTTGGTTCTTTGTAAAAATAAATAAAATTGATAAACCCTTATCCACGCTAACAAAGAAAGAGAAAACTCAAAGTAGTAAAAGTTCGTAATGTAAAAGGAACTTTCACATGGACACTATAGAAGAATATAGAAGATAATCACAAACTATTATGAAAATTTATACTCCAATAAAATAGAAAATCTTGAAGACATAAATAAATTTCTAGAGACATATGACCCACCCAAACTCAATCAAGAGGACATACACAATTTAAACAGATCAATTTCAAGCAATGAAACAGAAGATGCCATCAAAAGCCTAGCAACTTAATAAAGCCCAGAACCAGATTCTCAGCCAAGTTCTATAAGACCTTCAAAGAAGAATTAACACCAATACTCCTCAAATTATTCCATGAAATAGAAGAGAAGGGAATCCTTCCAAACTCATTCTATGAAGCTTCTATTACCCTGATCCCAAAACCAAACAAAGACACATCAAGCAAAGAAAACTACAGACCAATATCCCTGATTAACATAAATGCAAAAGTTCTCAATAAAATTCTTCAAATCACATACAAAAACATATTTAAAAGATAACACACTACAATCAAGTGGGATTCATCCCAGGGATGTGAAGTTGGTTCAACATATGGAAATCAATAAATGTAATTTATTACATCAATAGACTTAAAGACAAGAATCATATGGTTACCTCAGTAGATGCAGAAAAAGAATGACAAAATACAGCACTGCTTCATGTTCAAAACAGTAGAAAAACTAGAAATATAGTGCATGCCTATAACCCCAGCAGCTCAGGAGGCTGAGAAGGAGGATCATAAGTTCAAAGCCAGCCTCAGCAAAAGCAAGGTACTATAAGCAACTCAGTGAGACCCTGTCTCCAAATAAAATACAAAATAGGGCTGGGAATGTGGCTTAGTGGTCGAGTACCCCTGAGATCAAACCCTAGTAACCACCACCCCCCCAAGGAAAAAAAAAGGGGGGGGATAGGAGGAACGTACTTTAGCATTGTAAAAGCTATGTGTTAAACCCAAGGCCAACATCATTCTAAATAGAGAAAAATTGAAAGCATTCCCTCTTTCAAAAGGATGCTGTCTTTCACCACTTTTATTCAACATTGTCCTTGAAACTGTAGCCAGAGCAATTAGAAGAAATTAAAGGGATTGTGGGGGAGTAGTGTCTGGGGGTTGAGGCTCAGCGGTAGAGTGCTCACCTAGCAAGTGTGAGGCCCTGGTTCAATCATAAAAATAAACAAAATAAAGGTATTGTGTCCAACTACAACTAGAAATTTTTTTTTAAAAAGGGATACAAATAGAAAAAGAACTCAAACTATCACTGTTTGCCGACAACATAATTCTATATTTAGAAGATCAAAACAAATTCTACCAAAAAACTTCTAGAACTAATAAGTGATCAACACCCATAAATCAAATGCATTTCTATACATCTGTGATGAATCCACTGAAAGAGAAATTAGGAAAACTACCCCATTCACAATAGCGCGCCCCCCCCCAAAATGAAATGAAATACTTGGGAATCAATCTAACAAAAGAAGTGAAAAGCCAATATAATGAAAACTATATAAGACTAAAGAAAGAAAGTGAAGAAGACCTTAGAAGATGAAAAGATCTCCAGTGCTATCAGTCAGAGAAAACTAATATTGTCAAATGGCCATACAACCAAAACTGTTAGATTTAAAGCAATTCCTATTAAAATCCCAATAACATTTTTCATAGAAATAGAAAAGCAATCATGATATTCATTTGGAAAAATAAGAGACCTAGATTAGCCAAGCAATCCTTAGCAAGACAAGTGAAGCAGCAGGCATCACAATACCAGACCTTAAACTATACTACAGAGCTATAGTAACAAAAAGGGCATGCTACTGGCACCAAAAGAGACATTTAGACTAATGGTACAGAATAAAAGACACAGAGACAAACCCACATAAATACAGTTACATCATTCTAGACAAAGGCACCAAAAACATACACTGGAGAAAAGATACTCTTCAACAAATGGTGCTGGGAAAACTGAAAATTCTTATGTAGCAAAATGAAATTAAATCCCTCTCTCTCTCTCACCTTGCACAAAACTCAACTCAAAACGAATCAAGGACTTAGTCACTAGAACAGAGACCTTACGCCTAATGGAAGAAAAAGTAGGCCCAAATCTTCACCACGTGGGCTTAGGAAGTGACTTCCTCAACAAGACTTCTATAGCGCAAGAAGTAAAATCAAGAATCAATAAACAGGGACTGGGGTTGTGGTTCAGCGGTAGAGCACTTGCCTCTTATGTGTGAGACCCTGGGTTCGATCCTCAGCACCACATAAAAATAAATAAGCAAAATAAAGATATTGTGCCCATGTATAACTAAAAAAATGTATATATTAAAAAAAGAATCAATAAACAGGAAGGTTTCAAATTAAAAAGCTTCTTCACAGCAAAGGAAATAATCAAGACCATGAACAGAGTCTACAGAAATAGAGAAATCTTTGCCACCTGCACCTCAGATACAGCTTTGAACTCAAAAAACACCAAAAAAAAAAACAAAACCCAAATAACCCAATCAATAAGTATGCTAAAGAACTGAACAGATCCTTCATAGAAGAAATACAGTCAACAAATATATGAAAAAATGTTCAACATCTTTAGCAATTAGAGAAATGCAACTTAAAACTACACTGAGACTTCATCTCACTCCAGACAGAATGGCAATTATCAAGAATACAAGCAATAATAAAATGTTGGTGAGGATGTGGGGAAAAGGTCCACTCATACATTGCTGGTGGCACTGCAAATTGGTGCAACCACTGTGGAAAGCAGTATGGAGATTCCTCAGAAAACTTGGAATGGAACCACCATTTGACCAGAGATCCCACTCCTCGGTTTATACTCAAAGGACTTAAACTCAGCATACTATAGTGAGGCAGCTACATCAATGTTTATAGCAGCTCAATTCACAATAGCTAAACTATGGAAACAACCTAGGTGCCCTTCAACAGATGGATGGATAAAGAAAATGTGGTACATATACATAATGGAATATTACTTAGCCCTAAAGAAATAAGGCATTTGCTGGTAAATAGATGGAACTGGAAAATATCATGCTAGTGAAATAAGCCAAACCCAACAAATCAAAGGCTGAATATCTTCTCTGATATGTGGATCCTAATTCACAATAAGCAGGGCAGTGGTTAGGGAAGAATAGAGGTACTTTGGGATTAGACAAGGGGAATGAGGGAAAGGGAAGAAGAATGGGAATAGGAAAGATAGTAGAATGAATCGGACATTACTAGCCTATGTGCATATATGATTACACAATCAATGTAATTCTACATCATGTACAACCAGGAGAAGTTATATTCCATATATGATGATATGTCAAAATGCATTCTACTATCACGTATAACTAATTAGAACAAACATTCTACTCAATATTCAGATTGAAAGAGCAACTAAGAACAAAATCATAAAATGTAAATTATCCAATTTATTTTCCTTATCAGAAGAAAGCTGTAATATTTGCCCACAGACAACATTATTCCAGTAAAAAATTCCTACACAAGACACTGCTGTCGTTTTTATTCAAACACAGTCAAGGCTGGAGACATGTGCATCTAGCACCAACGCCATGAGATTATTATGGTCCACACAGAATGTTTAGGTTACCTTAACCCAGCTCTTAATAACATGCTTTCTGGGTCTATCTGCAGGTGGGAGCCTGGATAAGCCAGAAAATGGAAAAACAGTAAAGGCAACGCTGGGTTGATTCAAACTTTGGAGTTTCTAACTTCTATTTTAAAAGGAATGGGAAAAGCATGAGACACACCAGACTTATCAGAAGTCTTCTGACAATGAAACTTTTAGAGAAACACCACACAAGTGATCCTTTTAATCTCAATTCTCAGAGTGCAGGCCTAGGGATGATGAAAATGGGTTAAGCATGGAGAATGCTTAAAGATTGAACCTGGTCAACAGGATGTGTATAAATGTATAAAAGTAATAACCTTAACAATATGATAGTTAAAATTTCAGCACTATGTTTGTGTGAGACACTGTGATGAGTGCCTTATGTGCATTATCTCACTGTCAAACCCTGTAAGGTGGGTGCTACTGTTGCCCTTATTTTATAGATGAGAAATTGAAGCTTAAACAAGGTAACCAGTTTAAGACAGTGGTGGTATGTACAAACAGTCCCAGCTACATGAGAGGCTAAGGCAGGAGAATCATTTGTGTTCAGGAATTTGAGGCTAGCCTAGGAAATACAGCCAAGTCCCTGAATCAAAAATACAAAAACAAACAATGGTAAAGAGTTCAAGAATATATAGTTAATTAATGGGAAGCCTGAATTTAAATTCAAGAAGTCTGATTTTAGACAAAGTACTTTCTTTTTCTTTCTTTTTTTTTTTTTTTTGGTATGGAGGATTGAATCCAGGAGTACTCTTAAGTGTTACCAAAAGCAAAATATTTCAGAAATCAGAGATCAGACTACATATGTGAAACTTGAGTCCAAAAGAGAGGTAACTACATAATATTAAAAGTTCTTTAAAATCATAGGAAAATAGTTTCTTCATCTTTATGGCCTTAACATGCCTACAAGAGTCACAGTTATTGGGATTAGTGTATTTCTCTGGTTTCATTTGATGACAAAAATCAAGACAAATTCAGTTAGTTACCACAACTGGATATTTTGAATTTAGGATAAAAAGGACACAAGGGGATATATCACCACTGATTTTTAAACAATGTGCCATTAGATTAAAATGAAATGATAACTGAAATTCATATTAAAACAAAATAATGATTAGATACTAAAATGTATACTATAAAAATATGAAATCTAGATTGCCAGATAAAAATTATCCAAATACAAGTTTTATAACCCGAAACCCCCATAACATTTAAAATAACTGAAAAAGACCAAGGATTAAGTGGAGAAAAATCAAGAGGGACCCCTTTATTACACATTTATAAAACACTAGTATATATACTACAGTTATTAAAAATGGGACAATTTTTCAAATTTTTGGTATCTTATATTTTGCATTCCTTTTTCCATCATGCTTACAATCTTTCATAACTTGCTTTCTGTTACCAAAGTGTTCTGCAACCTCTATCCCACCAGAGTACAAATTAAAGAAAAAAACTATCCAATAGGTTCTTGTGAGAGACATTATCAAAGAAACTAAATTAATCCAATAACTCATTAACAATGATTGAGTTTTCAAAAAAATATAATCAAAACAAAAGCATCTAAAACTTAATTTAATCTTTCTGATGATTCAAAAAGCACCTTAAGATTGTGTCGTGCCATTTTACTCATGCTATGTATTTAGGTGCCTATAATAGAATTCTGGTTAGTAGATTTGGAACTAAAAATAAAGTTTTGTATGTAGTTACAGAGCAGTAAATAACTACAGATATAATATAGGAATTCTGATGTGTAGTTTTGTACTTAATGAGGCCACAATTTTTAATACATTGAAAATTTTTCAAATTAAAGCTACAAAATGAGTATTCTTAGTACATTTAGTAGTAGCTACTTATTTTAAACTATCATTTCATTTTTGGTGATCAAATTATATTTGACCATAATTAAAGGACAAACATTTAAGAAACACATGGTTACAACAGAACTATCTGTTATATTAAAGGAAGAAAGGAAAGTAAGTCATGCACATGAAGGGCATGGAAGTTTTTCAAACCTATTCTTTTGAAAGCCTTTCAATCCACCTAAATCAATCAATTTAGAACTTAAAAAGTCTACTCAATGTGCTTATGAAAAGAGGCAAAATCAGTGTTGACCATGTCTGCCTAACAACTATCCAATGCTGATCACTGAACAAGTATTTTTATTTCATTATCCTGTCAGCCATTATGACAAAGCCATGAGTATATATTCAGACGTAGCTGATTCAACTTATCAACTGCAGACAAAGAAATGTTCAGTTTAAAAAAGATAAAACAAATGACAATTGGAAATGACTGAATCACTGTACCTATTGGACACAACCTTAAATCTTAGTTTTGCTATATACTATCCAGTACTTTTGGATTCAGTAGTTGGGGTAAAAAAAAGTTCTGTATTCAAACATATCTACAGAATGTCAATAAAAAAATGAGTGGTATATACAATTAATATACACACATACATATTCTCTCTCACACACACACATACATACATATCTAGGAACCAGCACCTACCACATTCCCATTTCTCACTAATGACCCAATGAATCATTTATTACTTTAAGACCAGCTTAGATTCTATAAGGCTATAACAACATATGGCTAAAGAGGTCAAACGCAAGCACCCACACTTGGGCTGGATTAAATGGTTCTTCCTCATGATTTCTGACAAGTACTCATGCCATTTACATAACAACTATACCTCAATAACTTAGAATTCAGAGTAAAAAACCATAAACACGGAACTCCCTCAATGTTTTAGGAGCACTCCTTTCACTCTATTTCCATAATAAGAGGGCACACGAACTAGATCACCAAACTGTACAAATGATCTTTACTCTTAATCTAAACAAACATGTGTTAAAACATTCTGAAATGCTGCATCCTTTGATTTCTTCATCTTTTCAATTGCCCGATGGAGGTCCTGCTGTTGCACAGGCCGAATTTCATCTTCATCATGACTAAAATGCAAACAAATCCAAATAATTTTATAATACATTTCCCTAAAATATGTTACCAAGATTTTAAAAAATACACGTGGTAGAAAAATAAGACTGTTAATGATAATAAGACTGTTAATGATAAAGTCTCTTTTCCCCAAAACAACCACAATTAACACAGCAAATTCTCTCAGGAATTCTATGCATACTCAAGTCATAAGAGATTTTTTAAAGACACTGACTGCTAAAAGATAGGAAATCAATACCAAGAATATAATGTAAGTACAGAATATTACCAAAAGATGAAGATGTTACCCAGTATTGTCAGTTTATCCAAACAGGTATATACATAATTCCCATCAAGAAATTAAAAGTTATTCCTATGAAAATGAAATTGAAAAGTAGCATTTCTAGGTATATACTCATCTATATGTTTAGCTTTTTACAAACTGGAAGTAAAACATCATTAAAAAAATAAAAAACCAATCCAAGTCCTCCCCACTTTAATCATGAGGAAAAAATTAAGTATATTATGCCTCCTATGTAATTCAAAGGTACTTGATGGAAAAAATATTGATAGGGAAAGTTTTGATAACCCAAGTCTATAGAAGCTGGATTTTTCAATATTGAAATATATAAATTTCAGAAGAGAAAAACATGTCTTCTTATTAATTTAGTAATCTTAAAATTTATGTTGTATAGGTTATTACTTTCTTTTTTATTTTTCCTCTTTTTTTGTACTGGGGGCTTAACCCAGGGGAGCTTTACCACAGATCTATATCCCCAGTCCTTTTTTATTTTGAGAGAAAATCTTGCTAAGTTGCTGAGGCTGGCATCAAACTTGCAATTATCTGGCGCCAACTTCCCAAGTTGCTGGAATTATAGGCGTATGCCAGTGTACCCAGCTTATTTTTCCATATTTGACAACAATAAAGACCTTTGGAAGGCAGATTCTTAGCTGCAGAGGTCAAAAGTATTCCCCAACTTGCTAAAGTAGCTGGATTAATCTGGCAACAAATAAAGAGTGTCAACTTCTTCACAATGGAGCTTGAGGAAGTACTATCAATGGGACCAGAATCCTGCATACATAGCTACTGGTTGATAGGGTAGCTTTCACACAAACCCTTCTATACCCACACACACAAAGGTTTTGCAGAAGTGTGCTATGGTAACACCCTATGCTTAAGTATAAAACTACCAGAGGCAAATTAGGATCACTTGGACTAAGATCCTCAGGGAGTTCAAGAAGGGAAACTGACAAACAAAATGGCAAGAGTTTGAGAAGTCATTCAACCTACCCGCCCCCCACCCCCTGCAAAGAATACTAGTTTTAAGAGTCTCAGGAATTCTTTGTTAAAGGGTTGCTATTCTGAAAAGAAATGCATAGTAGTACTTGTTCAGGGCAAGTGACCTTTTGAGAATCTTCCTTAAAGGATTAAGTTAATAGGGCTGAATTATCCCAGTCCACCAGTATTCTTGCTGAAATTAATAGTAGAAAATTTAATTCTCAAGTTTAACATACTTTGAAATTAGTTTCAAGAAAATTTGGTTTAGTACAAATGGTTTGTTTAATAACATTATTACTAACAAATTAAGGATTCAGAACCCCTTTCGTTTACACATGAAATTCCTGGAAAACAAGACATTCATTTCTATATAATGGAATTTAAGATGAAAAAGTTATCTAGGTATGCGAGAGAACTCTCCTAACAGAGACGGGCATGCCTAGGTTTCTGTCAGCTTTCTGGGCCCATGCCATGGATTACCAGAAGAAATTCAGCTTTTGTCCCCTTTCATCCTAGAACCTCTCCACTGCCCTTTCTTCCTTCCTTTAGAACTCCCCTTTAGAAATTTGGGAGAAATAAGGGGGAAATAAATAAGAGGGAAAGGGGAGCTGCTTATTCAAATTTACCTTTTATTCCCCAAGTAGGGTTACTACTACAAAGCAAAATTTCAAAAAACTAAAACTAAAAGCTCTAAAAGGTTTGATAAATACCAGAAACAAGTCTAAATATATACATACCTTTCTTCTGATGTAGAATTAACATATTCCCTGACACAGAGGAGGGCAGCATCTCGACACATCTCTTTTAGGTCACTTCCTGAAAAGCCATCAGTTTCCTGGGCAACCTCTAGCAGGTCTACATGCCTATCCACCTTAAACAAACATGAAACGTGCTTAAGAAACAAATACAAAATATACTGCAAAGGAGGCTTCCAAACATCTGTCTCAGAGTTAAAGAAAGTTAAGCATATTGTCAAAGCAGAAACATTAAAAAGTACTTTCAAATTTTAGAATTTTTTTCAATAACCACAAAGTTTAGAAACTTGAAATTCAATTTTCATTATCATTTATCATGATAGAAGTTAGTTTACTGGATACACTGTGGAGTGATGAGGAAGAGTAGACATTCAAGCACTATTGGGATTCACTTTTGAACTTCTAAAGAAGATATCAAATTGACATATTTTATAATATATTCAACATACTTGGCATAGAGCTTGCATTTTTAAGTCCAGAGTCCATTACAAAAACCAAAACACTCTATTTAACATTCCTTTTAAATGTGATGCTTTATTTTAGTACTTACAGTTCTACTCTTCATCCTAAGCTTATAGTCAAGTCAGTTAAGTCAAGGCCAAATAATAGCTTTGGGAGAATAAAAGCATCATCATAAACTTATGGATTAAAAAAAAATGAAAAAGAAGATATATTCATGACTACCACCATCTATATCTGCTCATGCTACGTTGCCAAGGATATATCCTACTACCTCAGCCTCCCAAGTAGCTGGGATTATAAGCATGCATCACCTTGCCCAGCCATTAAGGCATTCTAAGGTTTTATAATAATAGCACTGGAAAGAGGGAAGAGATGTTATTAATTAGACTTTATGTATATATCTAAAAAATTGGGGGGTTACCACTAAGGCATACAAAGAGAATTTGTAGCTTTGAAATCAGGCGAGAAAGAGGAAAAAGGGGAGTAAGAAATGCAAGAGCAATACTAATGAACAAAGACTAGGGGGTAGGGGTAGAAAGCAAAGGCATGAGAAAGATTAAAATAAAAATAAACACAAATTTACCAGTAATCATCACAAATAGAATAAATCAGGAAATGACAAGATATTCTGTGTTTATGTTGTTTATGTGTATGTAGTAAAAATGTAGCTGAGGTCTGAAATTCACAACTATGCTAAAGAAAATAGGCTTTGTTTATATTTAAAAAGAAGTTTAAAGTTGAAAATGACATACAAAGCAAACACTGAGAGAAAGTTAATATAGTTCTAGTTACATCAGATCAAACATTTTTATGCAAAATGCTTAACTGGGATGAGAAATCATTACATAAAAAAATAATACACCAGAAGAGACAAAAACTCCCTGTATCTTTACATACCTAATATCATGGTCCCAAAACATAATTATGTAGAAAAATGGGCAAATTCACAATAATATTGGGATATTTTTAACATGTCTCATATATTGAAACATCAAAGAATAAATTCTTAGAGCTAGTCAAAATTTGCACCTGTGATCTAATGTACTTACATGTATTAGGACTCATACACCTGACCAGAACAACTTAGGACGAAAAGTTTACTTTGGGCTCACAGTTTCCGAGGCACAGTCCATGATCAGCCAACTCCATTGTTCTGGGGCCAAGATGAGGTAGAACGCATGGAGGAAAGAAATGGTGGAAGAAAGCTTCTCAGCTCGTGGCAGTCAGGAAGCAGAGATTGAGTTCGAGGTGCCAGGAACAAAATATAAACCCTAAAGGCATGCCCCCAGTGACCCATTTCCTTCAGTTATACCCTACCTGCCTATAGTCATCACAGAGTACAGTAGTCCTTTCAAATTATTAATTCATCAAGCAGATTAACCCACTCACTAGGTTATAGCTCTCGTAATCTAAGCATTTCACCTTTGAACATTCCCAATTTGCCTAACATGAGCTTTTTGGAGGGGATACTTCATATCTAAACTATAATGATACATAAACCTTGCAAACACATTACAGGAATTCAGCATATAATTTAGATATTAGTCCTTTTTGGTTATAGGGTTGTAAATGTTTTTCCAATGACTTGTTTTTCCACTTTGTTCATGTTATCTTGTCATAGAGAAGATTTAAGTCTGATATAGTCAAATTTGTCTATTCTCTTTGTAGTTTTCACTTTTTTGTTTCAGGGACTCTTCTTTGTACATCAACAGATACATACAAGGATCCAATTTCTTTACCATTTGTAATAGTAAAAAATAAATAACCTACACCTATGCAAATGTAAGGCATCTACTCTCAAATATTAATGAAACTGATATTCACTGTCAACTTCGGGAAAGTAGGTTAGATGGTGATAGGGGTGTGGGTAGAGATGGGTTGCTAAATTTGATCTAAATTTGAAAGAAGTTAGTTGTTTATCTATAACTTAAAAAAAGAAAGAAAGAAAATTCTAGAAGTTAGAAAAAAGCTTTTTCGAGGTATCAGCACTTTTCTTTCATTGGGGGGAAGGCGTGAGGAAAGTACCAAACAGCAGCAGACTTTTAAACTTTAAATAGCCAGGTCTGAGTGCCTGAACTTGCCTTTTCATTTTACTTCATCCTCCACGGAGTTCAATCACTTGGAGTGCCTACTTCACTTCTTTAAGCGAAAGAGAGGTATCCGTGACTGGAGTGCCTTAGGCAAACTCCTTGACAAGGTCCAAGCCTACTCCACTGCTGGAGGGAAGGTGTGGCTGTCTGTTCTCTTCATTTTTCGAATCCTGCTACTGGGGACAGCAGTTGAATCAGCTTGGGGTGATGAGCAGTCTGCCTTTCGTTGCAATACCCAACAACCTGGTTGTGAAAACGCCTGCTACGACAAGTCTTTCCCAATCTCTCATGTGCGCTTCTGGGTCCTGCAGATCATATTTGTGTCCGTACCCACACTCTTGTACCTGGCTCATCACATAGTGTTCTATGTGATGAGAAAAGAAGAGAAACTGAACAAGAAGGAGGAGGAGCTCAAAGTTGCCCAAACTGATGGGGTAAACATGGAGATGCACTTGAAGCAGATTGAAATAAAGAAGTTCAAGTATGGCATCGAGGAGCATGGTAAAGTGAAGATGCAAGGAGGGCTGCTGAGAACCTACATCATCAGTCTCCTCTTCAAGTCTGTCTTCGAAGTGGCCTTCTTGCTGATCCAGTGGTACATCTATGGATTCAGCTTGAGTGCTGTCTACACTTGCAAGAGATCCCTGCCCACATCAAGTGGACTGCTTCCTCTCTCGCCCCACAGAGAAAACCATCTTCATCATCTTCATGCTGGTGGTGTCCTTGGTGTCTCTTGCCTTGAATATCATTGAACTCTTCTATGTCTTCTTCAAGGGCGTTAAGGATCGTGTGAAGGGAAGGAGTGATCCTTACCACGCTACCACTGGCCCACTGAGCCCCTCAAAAGACTGTGGATCTCCAAAATATGCTTATTTCAATGGCTGCTCTTCACCAACCGCTCCCGTCACCTATGTCTCCTCCTGGGTACAAGCTGGTTACTGGCGACAGAAACAATTCTTCATGCCGTAATTATAACAAGCAAGCAAGTGAGCAAAACTGGGCTAATTACAGCGCAGAACAAAACCGAATGGGGCAGGCAGGAAGCACCATCTCTAACTCCCACGCCCAGCCTTTCGATTTCCCGGATGACAACCAGAATTCTAAAAAAATCGCTGCTGGACATGAACTACAGCTACTAGCCATCGTGGACCAGCGACCTTCAAGCAGAGCCAGCAGCCGTGCCAGCAGCCGACCTCGGCCTGATGACCTGGAGATCTAGATCAGGCTTGAGCATCAAAATTCCACTAACTGTGGAGAAGAAAAAAGGTGCTGTAGAAAGGGCACCCTAGGTGTTAATTTTGTTCCAGTTGGAGGTGGTACTCAACAGCCTTAGTCATGAGGCTTAGAAAACAACAAAGACTTTAGAATATGTAGGTTCATCAGGGGGTGTCTGGGATAGGTGGGTGGAGAGGGAGGGGATAAGGGAGGTACATGTGGAGATTTAACGTAGTGAATTCAAAGAACTTAATTTCTAAAGCAGAGTTGCATTAGGTGATACATAGGTAAGGGCTTTTTCTCCCCAACGTACACCCCTAAGAATGGTTCTGTGTATGTGAAAGAGAGGGTGATCATTGTGGCTAAATATTTTTAAAATTTTTGTTGTACCAAGAAACTGAAATAGCTTTGGCCAGGAATAAATACTTCCTGAACATTTTATTTCTTTGCAACAAGAAAAAGACAGAAGATTGTTCTTATGTCCCTGCTAAAACATTCCATTGTTAAAATTTGCACTTTGAAGGTAAACTTTCAATCCTCCAGGTGTCAAAGGACTTGTGCTACTACTTTTTTTTTTTTTAATTCTTGGTAACAACTGAAAGTTCAGACAAGGCCCACAGAAAAAGGTGTTCCATGTATTTGCCATCCATACAGGAGTATTTTTTTTTTTGCATCCACTTTCATCATATCATTGCCATCACTTTTCTTCATTCCTCAACTACTATTCACATTCATTTAATGGTTTCTGTAAACATTTTTAAAACAGTTGGGATGTCACTTAGCATTTTCTTTGATTTAGTGTCAGGGAAGCAAGCCATGCTCAATATTTAACAATCACTTGTATGTGTATGTGTGTGGAAGAGTGTGTTTAATTTCTCATGTATTGGTACAAGCAGATTCTGTATAAACTCACAAACACAGATTTGAAAATAATGCACACACAGGGTTCAAATTTGAACCTTTCTCATGGATTTTGTGGTGTGGGCCAATATGGTGTTTACATTATATAATTCCTGCTGTGCAAATAAAGCACATTTTTTTTTTTCCTAAAATGTTTTTCCCCATGTATTCTATTATGGATACTGGTTTTGTTAATTATTTTTTTCTTTCTTTCTTTTTTTTTTTTAGAATGTAGCAGTAATGCTATTACTGAGATGAATGACTTCCTTTTTCTGAAATATAATCATTGATGCTTGAATGATAGAATTTTAGTACTGTAAACAGGCTTTAGTCATTAATGTGAGAGAATTAGAAGAAATGCTTAGATTGGACTATTAAGTGTGCCTAAATGAATTTTGCAGTAACTGGTATTCTTGATTTTTGTCCTACTTAATACACATTAATTCAGAACTTGTATTCTCTTATGAGGTTGACAGTCTTTTGGAGTGACCAGCAACTTTGATGTTTGCACTAAGATTTTATTTGGAATGCAAGAGAGGTTGAAAGAGGTTCAGTAGTGCACATGAAACTAATTTATTTGAACTATATGCTGAAGACATCTACCAGTTTCTTCAAATGCCTTTTTAAACTCATCACAGATGATTGGTGAAAATGCTGAATATCATCATACTATTCTTGCACATCAGCTACACAGTTTTGTACAATGAAAATACTAATGTGTTTGACATTCCATGTTAAACTACTGTCATGTTCAGCTTCATTGCATTTAATGTAGACCTGGTCCATCAGATCTTGTGTTCTGCAGAGTGTTCTTTATTCAATAAAGTTTTAATTTAGTATAAAGAAAAAAAAAAAAAGAAAATTCTAGTCATGGGGGAGCAAGTTAGTTAACAGAGAAAGCATAGCCTAATGATTCAGAGAAAGGTTCCATCACTTCTTTGTGTGATTCTGAACAAATTTTTATATAACTCTCTGGGTTTCAGGCTCCTCAACTATAAAACAGAACTAATATGTACTCCTTGTAGGACTGAGTAATATATAAAACAAGGCACAATTCACAACAGTGCTGGTACATAACAAGCACTCCAAAAGTACCCCCCCCCCCCCCGCCTTTTTTTACTGTAGAATAATAGACATTAGATAAATCATGAATGGAAATTCTTTTCATTAAGCAATAAAGCCAATTCCCAAATTAAAGGTTTTTGAGAACTGGTAACAATATTAGAGCATATTAAGAGACTTCTAAAATAACTTGAAAGAAAAGCACTTGTTTATATAGGTATTTACTTTACCTAAAATTAACTGTACACTTAATATGCATATTACTCTAAGTAGTTTACATACAAAAATCTAATTAAATTCTCAAAATGATTTCATTAGATTGTTGGCATCTAATTTCCAAATGGAAAAAAAAAAAAATGAGGCATAAATATACTGAATAGTATGACCAAGCAGGGAATGGTCAAGCCAGAATATGGGAGACTCTCAGATCTGTCTCTGAAGCCCATGCCTGTTAATTATTTCTGTTTAAATTCAGATAAGTTTGTATAGGGGAAAAAAGTGACCTCCTTACTTTACAGTCAGACATGATACTTTTATTATATAAATTTTATTAGCGTTAATTCTTTTTACCCTTAAAATTTTAAGCCAAAACTACTACCCTACTTTAAAAACTTATTTATTTTATTTGGTACTAGGGACTGGACCCAAGGGAGCTTTACCACTGAGCTACATCCCCAGACCTTTTAATTTTTTAAATTTTGAGGCAGGGATTTGCTATATTGCCCAGGCTGGCTTTGAACCCTCTTGCCTTAGCCTCCCAAGTAGTTGGGATTACAGGTGTGTACCACTGCACCCAGCTTACCCTTTCTTTTTAAAAGAAAGCAAATAATGTTATGGAATATCTATTAACAAAGAACTGTAAGAATGGAACACAGGATCATTTTAAGAGTATCAATCTTTTCTTCAGAGAAGATAAACTCAAAAAATATAAAAGTCTGCTACTTTATTTCTATCAATAAACGCTTATTTATTCAGTAATGTAAAAACAGCAATGGTACTCACTTGTGCTACTGATGTGAAGCATCTTTTTAAAAAAAAAGTAAATAAATTTCTTTCATATTTTATTGAAGGAGCAATCTGCCTTCAGCATATAAATACTAGCTAGTAGGAAATAAGATGTTCCCATGTCAGCAATTATCTGGAGAACACTCATATTTTGCATCATAAAACTGGTTAGAGACTAATCATTTGTGCTTTCATGAATAAGAAACAGAATGCTAAAAACTTCCTGCGCCCATGACAAATGTAATTCTAAAAGAATTTCCAAAGACATTACTGTTAAAAAAAAAAAAAAATCACACAAAACACTATTGAAACAGAAATCAAAATGTTAAATTAGAAGAGTAATTCCTTAAATTAAATGAGACAAAGAGCTTAAATTTCATCATTTACACTGTTGATATATATTTAAATATATAAATTGTAAGGGTAAAAGAAATTGAAGTTAAAGCGTAAAAGTTAAAGGGTAAAAGACCGGGTGTTGTAAAGTTTCTAAGCTGCAAGGTCTGAGTTAAAATGTAAAGGATTAGGTATTGTTAGGTTTCTATGTTACCTGCAAAACCTGAAATCCCTGTAGCTGTTAGTACAATACTGGAATTGCCCAGTAAACATTTCCCCTGGCTGTTTGGTTGTTTAATAACTGAAGGGCTCTGTGTAACTGGTCACAGAGTCCTTTAGGCCCTAAAACCAATCAGTTTAAATATGTACCCCGTTTAGAAATGACCTATCGCTCCAGCCTCACCTGTTCCCGCCAATGAATGAACTAATCATGTTTAGGAGTTGTTGTTCAATTTTTCCACGCCTCATGATGATTTGTTCTGATGTATACAAAGCCCTCCGCCCTCCCCAAAAAGTGTACTTAAGCAGTGCTCAGCCCCTGCTCGGGGCTCTGGGCTGCTTTCCCTTCTTGAGTGGGCACGGAGCCCCAGCATGCTGGTTCAATAAATCCCCTTCTGCCAATTGCATGAGTGGTCACTTGGTGGTCTCTTTCTCCAACGCTTCGCCTGACCCTTACAAAATCATCTACATTATCTATATCGTTACTAGATACATACATGTGGTTTAAAAACATGGTTAACTTTCAGTTACGCAATACAATATCTCATTACATTTTTTTAAAGTTAAATAAATTATACTGATAATCTGATATCTCTGCAAAGTTGTCAAGAACTATCTCCTAATATCTGTTCAATTTCTAGGCACAATATAGTCGACCTATCTCCTCTGTTTATTTCTCCTGCTGATGTCTATTCTTGAGAAAGATTTATAAACTGTGTTTTATCTAAATAGTACTGCAACTACACAATATCTTTCTGAAAGCAGTTACCAAATATTCAATTAAAAGGCAAAATGTAATTTGCATTTTTTATCTAAGACAGGAATTCCTTACTAATATGGAAGATTTAGGAATTTCTCTGAAATCAAACAAAATATTCCATGAAGTATGTTGCTTTCTTAGGAAAGACTAGAGCTTTTATCTCATTCTTAAAAGACTCTACCACTCCCAAAATGGTTAAAACCATGGATCTGTAATCTTTGTAATTTATTCTGATCTTTGTAATTTGATAGGTTCTTTAATCTTTTTCACAGAGTATATATTACTGCTCTGCTTTAAGTAAGTGGCCCAAATTCATGTGTCAGAAACTTAATCCTCACCTCAGTAGTATTGAGACCTCATGAGATTGGAGCCCTCAAGAATGGTTTAATGTTGGGCTGGGGTTGTGACTCAGCAGTAGAGTACTCACCTAGCAAGTACGAGGCCCTGGGTTCTATCCTCAGTACCACATAAAAATAAATAAATAAAGGTATTGTGTACAACTACAACTAAGAAATAAATATATATATATATAAAAGAATGGTTTAATGTCACCATGGGAGTGGGTAAGTTACTGAGTCTGCAGGCTGTTAGAGAGATCCACCACTCATACTTTTACTTTTCCACATGTGTTCAATTGCCCTTCTGCTTTTCTGCCATTATATACAGTATGAAAGCCCTCACTATCCACTGTCACCATGCCTTTAGACTTCCCAGGTTCCAGAACTGTGAGCTAAATAAGCTTCTGTTATAGCAATGGAAAAATGACTAAAACAGTTATTCTGATATACTTTAGAACCCTGCTGAAACATAAGGAAGAATTAATCAGAAAGAATATTTGCTATGGGATAGAAAGATTTAACACCAAGAAGATCTCAATTCTCTTGAATAATTATCCACTAAAAATATTAACTTTTTTCCCTCCAAAAGACAAACTGATTTTAAACTTCATGAAAAATAAATAAATAAATGGAATAGGAATAAATAAATAAATAATAGGGATAGGAAAGCAACATGGGGTAGTCCCACTAGATATTATAACTTATAAAGCCACAATAATTAAAACAGTGTGTTGCCAGTGTACACAAACACAAAAGACCAATGACCTGAATTCAAAGTCCAAAACACAGCCAAAATGTGAAAATTCAATAAAGAAAAAGATGGCCTATTCAATAATTGGTGTTGGGACAAATGAATTCCCATCTTTTTTTTTTTAAAATATTTTTTTAATCATAGTTGGACACAATATCTTTATTTATTTTTATGTGGTGCTGAGGATTGAACCCATTGCCTCACCTGTGGGAGGCGGGCGCTCTACCACTGAGCTACAGCCCCATGAATTCCCATCTTAAAAAAAATAAAATAAAAGCAAATTTGGATTCATACTGCACATTACCTATTCAGATAAATTCCAAATACAGCAAAGATTTACTTACTTACTTATTAATTTGAACCCTCTGAACTACATCCCCAGCTCTTTTTTGTCCTTTTTTCCCCCCAATATTGAGAATTTAACCCAAGGCCTTACATGTGCTAGGTAAGCACTCTACAACTGACCTACATTCCCAGTCCATCTCGTCTTTTTTTATACATTTTCAAATTTGAACAAATTAAAAAAAAAAATTCTTTTCAATTTTGAGATAGTCTCAAAAGTTGCCCAGGCTAGCTTTCCTTGCACTCATGCTCCTCCTGCCTCAGCCTCCCAATAGCTGGGATTATAGATGCATGCCACCATATCTAGCCCCTTATACCCAATATTTAAATATAAAACATAAAACCACAGCCACCATGATATTATATATCTCCTGATGGAAGAATATAATCTCACCTAAGAAGTAGTTCTGTCCTGTCTTTTCTATCAACCTGAACTTAAATATTACTAGTCTCCTAACCCAACTACCAAATTTAGAGGGTAACTGTCTGTATAAACAGCAAAATCTGACTGTGGAAAACAATTCAAAAGGGAGGGGGAGCAAAAAAAAAAAAAAAGGAAGAAGAAGAGAAATGAAACTTTAGTTTATACATTAAACAAGACTTAAAAAAAAGTACCAAATAACTGCAAATTATGAACTCAATATAGATAATCAAGTCAAACCAAAACCGTTAAAAAAAAATCAAGACATTTAGGAGACAATTAAAAATTTGAACAGATTAGACAATGATAACTAAATTTTTGTTAGATGGAATATTAACAAGGTTAGTTTTTTTTTTAAAGAAGCAATACAAATAAAATATTTACAGATGTAATACAATGGGAAATGTGGGAAGTTAGGAAGTGAGATATGAAAGGAGAAGTAGATACAGAACCAATGGGTTCAAGGAAGGAAGGAAGCCACAGACATACAAATATCCTGAACTAGGGAAATCTATTTTACTTTCTTAGTTTTAGTATTGAGTTCAAACAGTGAGTTTAGATATCAAAAATATATTTGGGGGCTGGGGATGTGGCTCAGTGGTAGAGTACTTGCCTAGCACATGTGAGGCACTGGGTTCGATCCCCAGTACCACATTTTAAAAAAACAAAATAAAGGTATTGTGTCCATCTACAACTAAAAATATTTTTAAAGTAAAAATTAAAAAATATATATTCAGGTTGACAGAGAGAGGAGACAGGACTTCTTAGGTGAAATTATATTCTTCCTTCAGGAGATATACAATATCTTGGATGGCTGTGATTTTGTTTTACTTTAAAAATAAAAATATTAAAATTAAAAATATACGGAGTTTTAGAAAAACAAGTAACAAGAACTTAGAAAATATGGAAAATTCTTTTGTAAACCTGAGAAGAGAAAAGGATCTTTTAATTTATATTTAAAACCCAGAAGCCATTAACAGGGGAAAAATTATCAATAAAATCAAAAGACGAACTTGGAAACTTTGTCAAATCATACAAAGAACAAATCTCCCTAATACAGAATTTCTACAAATCTTTATAAAAAGGAACAATTCAATAGAAAATGAGTGAGGCTAATGCAGGAGGATACAGGTTTGAAGCCAGCCCCAGCAATTTAGCAAGACTGTATACAACCTAGTGACACCCTGTCTCAAAATAAAAAATAAAAAGGGCTAGGGATGAGGCTCAGTGGTTAAGTGCTCCTGGGTTTGGTCTCCTGGGTTCAGTTCTTGGTACAAAAAAATGGGGGGCGGGAGCGTGGAGGGATTTATAGGGGGGGAAAAAAAGTCAAACTCCTCTTAAAAATATACAGCAATACTCACTTCATCTCTAAAGAATGCAAATTAAAACTTTAATGAGATAACTATTTTCTAACCCATCATGTTGGCACAAAATTCTATAACATTCTTTGCCGAAGCTATAAGAAAAGAGGTACTCCAATATTGCCAGTATGAGAATAAACTTTCACAGACGATTTGGCAAGAGTTACCAAAACAGAAAGAAATACCCTGTCCTTAGATTTAGCAATTTCTCTTCTGTAAAAATTTGCTTTACTAATATTCTGGTACAAGGTTATTCAATGCAATATTTTTTATAATAATGAAAGACTAGAATCAACCTGAATGTCCTTCAATATGGCACTGATTAAAACATTACATTGTAGTTATACAACAGAATTCCAGCAGTATAAAGAGAGAGAGAGCAGAATAAGGAAAATATATGCTAATATGGAAAGACCTCAAAGATAAGAAAGCAATGACCAAAATAGTGAAATGACTTGTTAACATGGTTTATATTTTTTAAAAAAGGAGGAATAACAGTATATTTTAATTTGCTTATAAAGACATAACAACAATTTCAAAGTACAGAATACAAGGAAGGGAGAATTTTCCCTGTATACCATTCAATATATGTATTTTAATGTTTGAAACATTTGACTATACGGTCTATTAAAAAAAACCAAAAAACCTTAAATACAAAAGACATTGAAGGGGCTGGGGTTGTAGCTCAGTGGTAGAGCATCTGCCTCACATATGTGAGGCACTGGGTTCAATTCTAAGTACCACATAAAAATAACAAAGATTTTTTTAAAAGATATTGAAGATTTCTCTTAAATCTAAATTCCAACTTCAAAAAATATTTCAACTAAGTAGAAACAAGACGCAAAACAAAAATTTATTTTCTTTACAAAAATAAATGTTCTTATGTAACCATAAATGGTCTAAAAAATATCAAAGAGTATTAATACAAAAACATGAGGCTCACCTTAACTAGTTCAAAGGTACTGAGTTACAGGAGCAAACTACAGTTTTACAGTAATTTTGATCAAGTTCGAAATTACATGATTTTCAGACACCTCATTCATTCCTCTTTAAAATAAGTTTATGAACATAAACACCACATTATAGAATGAGGAAAAATGATTTTCTACTTACATTTTCATTTTTCAAGATGAGCTTCAAGATTGCTTCTCTTTGTTTTAGAGCCTAAATGCAGAATAATTTCAGTTAGCTTTTTTTTTTAAAGGACCAATTAGTTTTCCTAATTCTTCTTCCCTTGTGAACTATGTGATGATACCTAAACAAAATGACAAAAACTTTCTGTACATAGTGGCACATGACTGTCATCCCAGCTTAGGAGGATGGCAAGTTTGAGGGCAGTCTCAGCAACTTAGTGAAACCTCTCTCAAATTAAAAAGGCGGGGCAGAGTACTGGTGATATCGCTCAACGGTAGAGCATCCCGAGGTTCAATTCCCAGTACTAACAAATAAATAAATAAATGAAACAGAAACTCTGGTAGAGATCAAAGCAAGATCTTATTTTGATACTCTACAGTAATCATCTGTGGTTATGCCACTGAATTCTATTTCTTATTCTGTATCCCCAGTGCCTATAATGTATGGGAAAGAATATGCCCTTAATATTTACTGAATGAGTGAAGGAATATCTAAGACTACAATGTGTTTCCCATATAACTCTACAATCTTCCTTACAAAATTTATGAAAACTCACTACTACCCTAAGATTGAGAGGTACTGAGGAAAGGGGGTTACTAGGAATTAAACCCAGGGGTGCTCTATCTCTGCGTTAAATCTCCAGCTCTTTTCATTTTATTTTTGAGACAGGCTAAATTCACCAGACTGGCCTCAAATCTGTAATCCTCCTGCTTCAGCCTTCAGAGTAGCTAGGATTATAGAAATATACTATTGCACCTGGCTGCCATAAGATGTTTTTTTACCAGTAACTGGAGGTTGGGGCAACACTTACCTCTCCTCCATTTAACATAAAATGTCCACGTTCACTAACACTTATCAGTGAATTTTTATTTAGTTCCAATGATTTTCCCCCAGTGATACCTCACATTATTATATTAGAAACTACACTTAGGGAATATTTATATAGATTTTTAAAAGTATTTTTAGTTGTAGATGAATATAATAACTTTATTTTGTGTATTTATTTATGTGGTACTGAGGATCGAACCCAATGCCTCACACATGCTAGCAAAGTGCTCTACCACTGAGCTACAATCCCAGCAAAGGTTTTGAAAGAAGTTGACGTCAGTTTAGATTTTTAGAATTATGACAGAATTCATCCTTAATCCTCTTGAACCACTGACAAAAAAACGCTCATTACAATGATCCTCAAATCAAATTACCTGAAAAACCAAATAAAACTCTACAGTTTCTGTAATTCACATGTATTGAGTAATGAAGGTTCACTCGGTATGTTATGTGATCACCAATAACTACTTCTGTTAATAACCATTTTATTTGAATAGGAGTTTTAAGATAAGGTTACACTTTGACACTGTAGTTAAACAGGAAAGAAAATCCTCTAATATATGTGCATATTCATTTAAAACAGAATGAAAAGGAAGTAATGAAGTTCCAATTTCTATGTTATCCATACACAAATTTATAACAAATTTGATGAAATCTGTTACAAATTAGTCTGATAACATATAATACATTATAACTTCAAAAAAGAATACTTTCCATGTTGTACTCTAAGTTCTATACGCTTGGTATATCAAAAACCTTTCTTTTTCTATTGGGCTACAAGGTATTTTCTATTATTTGATAAATACTATTCATCAAAACCTCTGTTGTCCATGGGACTCCAACTGAATTACTGATAAAAGTCAGTAATCTTGGGATTCAGAATTACAGGAAAACTAATTTACTTTAAAATGTCTTGCTTACAAAACATAAAACATTCTTGCATAAAGCATATGATGTTAAACTTGGTTACAGTCAACCTTTCCAGGTTTATCTCTATTTTCCTTGGTATCTAACAGAACTACCCCTAAAACTCACTCAAACTATGACTGCACACCTTCCTGCCTTTGTTCATTCTGGTAGGAGGAACCCTTATTTTATTTGCCTGTTAAATTCCTACCATCCTTCAACATCCAACTGGATTCCGTAAATCCAAGGGCTCCATAGACAAAATTATTAGTTTTCATCAGATTCTCATGGTTCTTTGAACATACCTTTGTAAAACATGTTAACATTATTTATGTTGTCTGCTTTCCCAGTAACCCAAAGTTCTTTTGAGAAAAAGGGCAATGTTTCATTCACCAGAACCAGCAAGTATCTGACAAATATTAATACTTGGTAAGTATTCATCATACTAAATATAATTTATGCTCTCCTATATCAAGTTTTTAAAAAAATCTCTTCATTGATTTATCAGGTAATTTTCAAATATAGTAACTAAATATGTGCATATTCTCTGAGGAACCAGAAGTACCAGAGATTCTAACTGTAGCAAATACTTTATCAGACCAATTTTACAGAGTCACAATCATCAAACTTTAGAAGGCCAATTTTTACTGCAACAAACTGATATGATAAGCTTCAGAATATAAATGGGACATTTTAGTCATGGATTACAAATGAAATTATATATATTTTTACAACCAAACCTGAAAGAAATAAAAACTAACTATAAGTGTAACATGTTGACTATATGGAACATATCTTCTACCATGGAAATCTGTTTTTTTTCTTTTTTCTTCAATATGAAGACATACAAAATTCAATATTTTAAGATTCTCTGCAAAATTTAAAGGGTATCAAAAAGTTATAATCATCTATTTGAGGTTACATCTTAACCAAAAAAAAAAAAAATGCTAGAAAGAAGGCAGTAATGGTTCAACATGAGCCACAAATTTGCATTAAGTTAAGTATATATAATACTTTAGCTTTGGGAATTAGTATCCAGTCAGAGAGAAGCACTGATTACATTTACCAATAATTAATCAAAACCAAGTAGTTCTTCATGCTAGGCCTTCAGAATAAAATAAGTATTTAACATTTTTTCCCCAATTTTATTCTATGCTAATCTAAAAATATAATTTAGATTTTTTAACATATCTTCCTAAAGTAAATCATTAAAATAACTAGGCAAATATGATGTAATTATATTCTTGGAAGAGGAGCAAAACCCACTGATCTTAGGGTAAAAAGAAAAAAAAGCAAAGAAGAGAGAGGAAAGCTCAAAGAAGCAATTGTGGAATTTCCTGCTCCATTCCTTCCCTGCCTGTCATAAATGAGTCCTATGAAACAAAACATTCCTTCTTTAAAAATCACAGAAAGACTTGTTTAAAAGGTGAATATTTAACTGTTTTATAAATCAAGAGCACTTACAGGCTGGTTGATATGAAATCTTGTAGGCATTCTTCTCATTATAGCTGAGTCAAGGTCCTGAGGACGATTAGTAGCTCCCATTACTATGACCTAAATACAGAAAGAAACACAAGGTATTAAATATATCAATAATAACCTTTGAGGTTATTATTACTAGGACTTAGAAGGTAAAGAAAATTAAGTGGTTTTTAAACTGAATCCTTTAAGAATTCTAGTTTTAATCTAGTATTACTCAAGTATTTATAGAAAAAAGTAAAGTTAATCCTAAATAAAATAATAGCCAATCTGGAAAGATTCATGCATTTCATTGAATGTCTAGTAACTAAAACATGTACTGTTCAGTTGCAAGTGTCATTATTAAAGAATTATAAAGATTTTTTAGAGGGTTGTTGTATTTTACAAAATACTTACCTTAAATATAGTTTGGGAATATAGACAGTGGGGGATCATGTCCTTTAATAATAATATGGAGAGAATCAATTCTCCACAAGTATGAGGATTCTGAAAATATACTTTTTTCCCTCTAGATTTCACATCATTGTCTTTATAGACTATCAGCATTGTAGGCAATATCTTCTCAAAGCTAAATATAAAGTCAGGCACAGTGGTGCACGCCTATAATCTCAGCGGTTCGGGAGGATGAGGCAGGAAGATTGCAAGTTCAAAGTCAGTCTCAGCAAAAGCGAGGCACTAAGCAACTCAGTGAGACCCTGTCTGTAAATAAAATACAAAATAGGGCTGGGGATGTGGCACAGTCGTCGAGTGCCTCTGAGTTCAATCTCCGGTACCAGAAAGAAAGAAAGAAAATAGAAGCTTTAAAAAAAAAAAAGTTAAACATAAAGCAATCCAATTCTAAAAAAAGAGAAGAGTAAAAGGAAACAACAAAATGCTGTGTAGCGGGCTAGGTAGAGCAGTTGCCTAGCATGTATGAGGGGAAAATAAAAGAATTTTTAATACCAAAGAAAAAAATTGTTGGTGGCCCTATCAAATTCTGGGTCTATATTACTTAATTTATAAAGGATGTGGAAAGTAGAAAAAAACTAAACCTTAAGACACAAACAAAACAACTATTCAGAAGTACATCTCTGAATCGGGAGGGATCAATACTTGGGTATAATCTAGTAATAGCATACATCTGCTATCCAAAATGAAGTTTATTGGTATTTATGGAAACATATTTCTCTATTCTTATTTCTGTGCAACATAACTCCCAGGCCAAGTTAAAATATCTACCAAATCTTATATTTTACTCATTGTGGTTTTTTGTTTGTTTGTTTTGTTTTGTTTTGTGTGTGTGGTACTAGGGATTAAATCCAGGACCTTGAACATGCTAGGCAAGCTCTCTACCCCTGAGCTACCTCTCCAGGCCTCTACTTCTACTCTTCACATTAAAATTATCTTTTCTCTGATAACAGATGGAGCCCAGTATCCTAACTACCTTTCCAGTATATGGTTACAACGGAAATAAATATAGTAAATTACCCAAAGAAAATCATCACTGTAAATGGAAACCTTAGCAAGTGAGGACACATTCTCATGGGTTTTTTTTGGTACCACAATTGAACCAGGAATACTTAACTTCTGAGCCACATCCCCAGCCCTTTTTATTTTTTATTTTGAAACAGAGTCTCACTAACTTATTTAGGGCTTTGCTAAATTGTTGAGGCTGTCCTTGAACTTGTGCTCCTCCTTCCTCAGCCTCCCAAATCATTGGGATTGCAGGTGTGTGTCATTGTGCTATAGGAGGGTTTTTGCTTTGAGTCACAGATTTAGATCTGATTATTTTAAATGTGAACAGATAAAGAACTTTATAATCTGTTTTAAGACTTTTTAAAAGTTATCTTAGAAGATGGGTTTTTTTTGCTGCTTAAATACTAAAAAATTAATATTGTTTCCCGTTTTGAATTCTTAGCTCATTTGTACTGAATAGGATTAATGTGTTAAGATTCTGTCTTTATCCTTAAAATCACTTTTTAACATTTGCTTCTTTGAGTGAAGGTGTAAGTATCTACAATCACTCGTGTTTTATCATCATGAAAGTCCTTTATATAACTAGATTGCTTTGAATTCCTTGATTCTGTTTTCTAGCACTTCACCTTACTACTGGGTTTTTTGTTTGGTCTTAGGCTACTTATTACCTAGAATGTTTCTTAAAATGTTACCCATTTTTAATTTTTTTCAAATATTTTCTTTTTTATTCATTTATTTTTATGTGGTACTGAGGATCAAACCCAGAGCCTCGAATGTGGGAGGCAAGTGCTCTACCGCTGAGCCTCAACCCTAGTCCCTCAAATATTTTCTCAACTACAATATCTTTTATGATTTTCTGCGACTCAGTATAGTCAGTATTCAATAAGCTACTCTATATCACTTGTAATTTCTCTTTTGATACTTGATATGTAAAAATATTTATGTATTCTTTATCTTATGCAGTTAATCCATTTAATCACTTGTTTGGTAGAATTTTTTTTCTTTTTCATTAATTTTATCAATTGTAAGATGCCAGTAAAGAAAAATGGGGATGAGCATCAATACTGGATTCTAGGGTCACTTAATCCAAGCATGGAGATGCATTACATTGTGAAGCTAACATTTCCTAAATTTATATTTGTATATATATTTTTCCTCCAGATTACAAACTTGCTTAGTTAGTTAAAAGTAATTGAGATCTGAGAAATTCATATGAAAGTAAAATATATCTAAAGGGAGGGAAAGGGCAAATAGTGAGAAATTATACTGGCCAAATTATATTATTTATTGTGTGCATATACGAAGGTGTAACAACAAATGCCACCATTTTGTACAACTATAATGAACCAACAAAAAATATGGAAAAAGCAAAGTAACATGTCTAAAATTTTTATTTAAAATTATTAATATCAATTTTAACCCCCTCAACACACAATAAAAGTTTTCTTTTTTAAAAAAAGGTTCTGAACAGAGGTATGAAAAATTGTTCTATATGTGTAATAAGATGCATTCCGCTGTCATGTATTTAAAAAATAAAACCAATTAAAAAAAAAAAAGACAAATGTTAAAATGAAAAAAAAAAAAAGGTTCTGGAGTTTAATATAATAGCAACATCTTCTATTGGCTCTTCAAATCAAAACTCACCATAATCAAAAAAGCAATTGCTATCAATGGAATAAGGACTCATTGTTCTGCAAACTCAGTTGTGCTGTATCAGAACTATCTAGACCTCCTCAGCTCAAGGTTTTAATTTTTGAAATATAATCTCATAACAAGTTAAAATATCTATCAAATCTTATTTTCTACTTCTATTCTTTGCTTATTTTTGCAATAATGGGGATTAAACCCAGGGCCTTGCACATGCTAGACAAGCAGTTCTAGAGTATGCTATATCCAAATGACTAAATATTCTCTGCCCTAAATAGATGAACACTATATTCTGAAATTAAAATGTTTTCTCTCAAATGGGTTGTCTGAGTTAAATTGTCTGAGTTAAATACTATTGTGAAATTTATGTTGTGCTTTTTTCAATAGAGCTAAAGATTATTTCAAAATCTCATAAAAAATACACTTTTCATAAAGGCAATTTAGGACATGTGGCCTAATTTTCTTCTTCAAATTGATGTGGTTCAGAATTTTATGGTAATGTGGTGAACTTTAAGAGACTCTTAAAGCCCTGTGGCAACAAGACATATAAGAATAATAAAATATAAAAATATCTCAAACAAATTAATCTGGAGTCAGTACAATGGCATGTGTTTATAATACCGGCTTCTTGGGAATTGAGGCAGGAGAACTGCCAAGTTCAAGGCCAGCTTCAGCAACTTAGTGATGCCCTCTCTCAAAATATAGAATAAAAAAGCAGTGGAGGATGTAGCTCCCCAAGGTTCAAGCCCCAGTGCTACCAAAATAATGATGATGATCTTTAAGTCTGCCAATAAAAGAAAGAAAGAAAAAATGAATTGAGGCCATCAGTAAAGCCTATGCATAAAGAAAGTAAGCAAAAGTAGAAGTTGACCAAATACCCTATAGACATGTATAAAACCTAGAATGTATGGTATGTATTGAATATCTTTCAGGTTATAACACCTTATTAGAGCACACTCTACCTGAAGCCAGGACTCATTACATACTACATGCTCAAAAAGTGGTCAAATGTTAGAAAATTCACTTAGTAAAAGCATGCCTTCATGGGGAGGGGGTGGTATATATGCACACAAAGTTCTTCAGATTTCACAATTTGTAGCCAGGTAACATGCTGGATCTTTGAATTTACATATTTGGGTTATTTTTTGTTTTGTTCTTCTTCTTTTTTTTTTGGTACTGGGGTTTGAACCCAGGGGCACTTAACCAGTGGGCCACACTCCCAGCCCCTTTTTATATTCTATTTATAGAGACAGGGTCTTGCTAAATTGCCAAGGCTGGCTTAGAACTCACAATCCTCCTGCCTCAGCATCCCAAATTGCTGGGATTAAAGGAGTGGGCCACTGGGCCTGGCGTGAATTTACATACCTGTGTTAGGGAAAAAAAAAAAAAATCCAGCAGAAGGCAAATACAAAATTTCCTTTGAGCAACAAACCTTCAACTTGAGTTTCAAAGAATTCACAAAGTTCTATCAAATAAAGTATCCTCTAAATAGCAACAACAACAAAAAAATGCTATAAACTCAAACTACAAATGATAGAAAGTCACAAGAATGTAGACGTACAGAGTTATATATTAGATTTAAAATTATAAAATCAGTATGTTAATATATTTTTATGGAGTTATAAATCTATGCCAGGCACCTTTTAAGGCACTGTACTCAGACTGGTTCCTTACAACAATTCCGAGGTAGTGTTCCCTTTCATATAAATTATTTCCTCTATACAGTACAGAATAACTATTAAAGTTGGTTAGTTGATGTCGCAGTTCTGGTTTTCTGATTGAACTGGGAACATAAGTAACCAGCAAGAGCCTATCAAAATTGACCCAATAGACTTGAAAAACAATCTAAAAAAATTTCCTCTAAAAACAATCTAAAAAAATAAGCTCAATGTTTCCATTTACAGTAGAAGAGCTCCAAAGGAACACAGATTTATCAAATTGAACAACAACAAAAGGAGGTAAAGAAATTACTCAGAATGAAGTATAAAAAAACAATATGAAAATCAAAAGGCATACATCTAACTGGATGCCAAAAGGAGATGGGGAAAGGAGAAAAAAGAATAATTAAAGAAATGCAGCTGAATTATTAAGAAGTGATAAAAGGGCCAAGGGGGGCTGGGGATGTGTCTCAAGTCATACAGCGCTCGCCTAGCATGCGTGAGGCATTGGGTTCGATTCTCAGCACCACATAAAAATAAAATAAAGATATTGTGTCCACCTAAAACTAAAAAATAAATATTAAAAAAAAAGGGGCCAGGGGTATAGTTCAGTGATAGAATGCACAAGGCCCTGGGTTCTGTTCCTATCTGTGTCTAAAAAAAAGTTATGAAAGATGTGATTTTAAATATATTTGTGTTTTTTGAAAAGACAAAACAAGCTAGGGGCTATAGTGCACACCTATAATCCCAAAGGCTCAGGAGGCTGAGGCAGGAGGATTATGAGTTCAAAGCCACCCTCAGCAACTTATTAAGATCCTGCCTCAAAGTAAAAATACATATAAAAAAAAAAAGGGCTGCAGATGTGGCTCAGTGGTTAAGTGCTCCTGGGTTCAACCCCAAGTACAAAAAAAAAAAAAAGCTAAAGTAACATTAATTTTTCCATGTGACATAATTCATGAAGAAAATATGGGAAAATGGTTCTGGGATTTCTATTTCCAGCAATATGCAGAAAAAAATAAAATGCCAAATAAATTTTAATTTTACTTTTAAAATATATCATTGAGGGCAGAGGATGCAGCTTAGCGGTAGAGCCTTGCCTAATGTGTTAGGCCCTGCGTTTCCCTAGCATGCCGAAACACACCCATGTACACACCATCAAGCTGGCAAAAAATACGAAATATTCAGAGATCAAGTAAGTGAAAGTGAGAACACAAAAGAAGAAAACTGAACACTAAAGCTGACTTTCTCTTTAGGGGCATAACAAGAGAACTCACCCATTCTCACATCCTTATAGCAGCAAGAGACAAAGTCTAGATAAAGGACTGTTTAGCATAAACGTAGAAATCTAAAGGAAGGCTCATGTGACAGTAAGTGAGAAAGTATACAAGTTTCAGCAGCTACTGAGCACAGTAAAATGAGAAGACAAAGGACATAAGAACTGAAAGTAGGGCTCAGTGGCAGAGTATGCCTAGCATGTACAAGGCTCAAAATTTCAAACCCAGCACTACACACACATATACACAAAACTGAAAAACTATAAGGAATTATGGGTAAGAGTCAAAAGGAAAACACCCACAGACACTAGTCAATTCTTTGGCATAATGGTTCTGAAAATTCCAAAGAGGGGCTTTACCCTGGTTTTCTCTCTTCCATCACCATCTATTTCGGGTACTTAAACAATCTGTCAATGTTAAACATGAAACCCTCAAAATGGATAATTTATACAAACTATTTCTTTTGAATTCTCATCACTTGTGTTTTTTTTTTTTAATATTTTTATTAGTTATTGATGGACCTTTATCTATTTGTTTGTATGTGGTGCTGAGAATCGAACCCAGGGCCTCATACATGCTAGGCAAGCGCTCTACCACTGAGCCACAGCACCAGCCCCATCACTTGTATTTTTTGAAAAGACAAAACAAGTAGTATAAAGATTATGTATCTGAATACGTTATATTATGATAAGTATAATACAGTATAAGTATAAATATTATGAAAAAACTTTTGTATGGAAGTACTAAGTGGCTCACCACATTTCCAATTAATAATAAAACAACCAGTTTAGTGTAACCAAGTTTTACTCAAATACCTGGCAGCTATGATCAGTATCCAAACCATCCCAGAGACTCATAAACTGAGCTTTCATCATGGCTGTAGCTTCATGATCAGAGCTTGAACGATTCCGTAGAAAGGAGTCTTCAAAAAAAAAAAAAAAAAAGTCCTTAACTTTAGAAATTAATTATTTACCCTTTATATAATTTATGCATTGGAAGAATTACAACATTCAAAAAATACATAGGCCTGAGGAATTTTTCAGAAGTAACGAAGGCCATGAATTCTCAGATCAAAACACATTACTGTGGGTTTACTAGGCTTAGCAAATAGAACACCTAAACAACTAGAGAAAAAAGATACAATCTTTAGGTATCTTAGGCAATAAGCAGATTTCTCAAAAGCAACAAGAAAGTTTGAAAAACAATGGAAACTGAAACTTCAAAATGCTGAGGGAAAATAATTCTGTATCATTTAAGAGATAAGGCAGAAAGAATTAACACTCTTTCATCTAAAAACAGAAAGAATTCACTCCTTACAACCTTTGCTGAAAGAAATTTAAGACTTTAGTAAGAAAATTAAATCCAGAAAAGGCAAGATCTAAGAAGCACTGGTGAATAAAAAACTGGCAAATGTGAGTAGGTGAAAAAGCAATGAAAATAACAGTAATAGGTAAGATATAAAATAAGAAAAAATGTTGGAAAACATGTAAAAGTTAGGGGGAATTATCAATGTGTAGAAGTTCTAAGGTCAACTGTATAGTTTGCAAGGAGGGCAGAGACGATGATTAGGCTTTAGACATTTAAGAAAAGTAGGTATAGCTGGGTACAATGACACACACCAATAATCCTAGCAATTCAGGAGTCTAAGCCAGGAAGATCCAGTTCAAAGCCAATCTCTGCAACTTAGCAAGGACCTAAGCAATTTAGTGAGGCCCTGTTTCAAAATCAAAAAAAAATGAGCTGAGGTTAAGCACTCTGGGTTCACTCCCCATACCAAAGAAAAAGACAAGTACGTATGTTAAATGTTTCACTAGAAGAAGAATAAAGAACTTCTAAATCTGTAGCAAAAGAAAAGTTTTGGTTATGTATTTGCCTTGGGAATTTTTTCATTGTTTTATTCTTTCAATATTTGGGGTTCTGGTATGCATCTTGAAGAAGAGAGTATATAGCTGGATTTAAAAATAATTTCTACCTATTTCTTTAATTGGGAAGTGTAGTTAATTTGCTATTTTTATGACAGCTAATGTATTCAAATTTATTTCTACTATGCAATTTAGTGCTTTTTATTTAGCAATCTGGTGGATGGTCTCTTTTATAAGTTTGCTGTCTAAATGGAATTGGATTTCTATCTCATACCATATAATAAAAAAAAAAATTTTAAGGATATTTGTGGGGATAGTGTAAAGTATTGTAAACCAGACATAAAAAGCATAAATCACAGAGGAAAAATACTTATAAATGTGACTACTTTCAAATTTAAATCACTGCAGCCATTTAAATCATTGTAAAAGAAACTACTATAAACAAATTGAAGTAATTATAATAAACATCAACAACGAATTATCCAGAAAAATATAAATTCCCCAAAGAAAAACTGGAAATTACAAGCAAAAAAACCTAACAGCGAATCAACATATTAACACATCCAAATTTACTAGTGATTAGTAAAACATGAATTAAAATAATGGTGTGATAATTCTTGGTTTTCAAATCGACAAAAATTAATGGTAATGTCTGAAAAAATAAATCTTAGAGAGTATGCTGGGAAACAAATTCACTGTTATGAGTGTCTAGGTATAATCATTTTGAAGAACTTGTAATCCTAGTGAACTTGAAGAAAGTTCAACTTCTAGGAACCTATCCTAGATAAACATATATGCATAATAAAACATGTACATATATCTCCACTGAATACTGTTAAGAGAAAAAAGCCTATCAAGCAAGGGTATGAAAAGGCTATGATTCATTCCAAAATACAGATATGAGATACAGAATATTCAGCTGCTAGTTATGCCTTTTGTTTTATTAGCAGAGCCTAACAATTGTTAAAAATTAAATCTGGTTTTCTAAATATTACCTTTAAAATGACTTTTCAAAAGGCTCACATAGAAAACAACATACCTATTTCATCTATAAAGATGATGGAAGGCTGTAGCTTTATGGCAAGGGAGAAAACAGCAGCAGCCAATTTCTGAGATTCTCCATACCACTTATCAGTCAATGTTGAAGGTTGAAGGTTAATAAACCGACAGCCTGCTTCTTTAGCTGTAGCCTTGGCAATTAATGTTTTACCACAGCCTGGAGGTCCGTAAAGAAGAACACCTGAAAAATTAAAATTATTTTATTATTATCTTCAAGATAATGAAATATTTGCTTTCTTTGGAGTAAAGTATAATAGATATGAAGGTATACAAATTTTTTTTAAATATTTATTTTTCAGTTGTAGTTGGACACAATACCTTTATATTATTTATTTATTTTTATGTGGTGCTGAGGATCAAGCCCAGGGCCTCGCACATGGTAGGCGAGTGCTCTACCGCTAAGCCACATCCCCAGCCCCATGGAGATATACAAATTTTCTTAATGTTGGAAAATAAAAATAAAATTCAAACTGAGGAAAAAAATAAATACTTCGCATAAAATATTTATATAAAACACACGTCAAAAACTGAATTTTTTTTTTGGTTGCCATGCAAGGGATCAAAGCCAAGTTCTTGAGCAAGCTAGGCAAGAGTTCTATCATTGAGCTATATTCCCAGCCCACCTTTCAATTTTTTTTTTAAATAAAAAACTTGAGCTTGTTTCCATAAACATTATATATTTTTTTACATCAGGCATCTCAAAATAACGGTCAAACTTTTCCTAAAGAGTAGACATATTTTTCTATTGATCACAATTCTTTAAGATTCATGTTACAACATCAAACTAACCCAAGTTTTGTTTGTTTGTTTTTGGTACTGGGGATTAACTCAGGGGGCACTCAACCACTGAGCCACAGGATCTCCCTGAGTCACTTAGTGCTTCACCATTTCTAAAGCTGACTTTGAATTTGTGATCCTTCTACCTCATCCTCCCAAGTCGATGGGATTACAGGCATGTGCCACTGCGCTTGGCCATCAACTAGCCCAAATTTTAAACATTTCTAAAGCTGATTTTGAAATTTAACTCCATAAGCTTTACCAGGACAAGTTAATATTTTCAAGCAGAATTTGCGATTTTTAATTCAAGTCCATTTATAGCTGCTTAAAATTTACTTAAGTCAATTATAATCTGATCCTTCAACTGACATTTTTCTTTTGGATAGCCATGTGAAACAATAAAGAATAGTCATCTAATGACATTTCATTTAAAGCTGAAAACACATGGATGATTGCTGGTATTGTGGAATTATTATATCTCATTTTTTGATCATATAATAATGTGGGCTGCACATTTACTAGCAAATTCATACGTAAATATTAATTATATCAGAATTTTTAGAACAAACCATTCATATGAAAGCCTCTGTATTTTGTACACTTTACAGTTACACCATTGTAAACATATGCACTACTTTTAGAATGTCATATTTGTTTCAAAGTATTCGTTGATCATTTCATGTTTTTCTCCTAGTAGTTTGGACAGAAGATTAATATTTTCCAATTATTTCTCTTTGTAAATCAAAATTAGTGTTACTAAGTAAGTAGTTGCTAGTGTCTGAAAATTAAACTTGAAATGAAGGCTTTTAAATCTCATAATCTTCTGGCAGATAGAGTTATGATAAATAAGGTATATATAAGGAGATATCAATATTGTACTTCTTCAGCTGGGTGATAGTTACATGTTACCTTTATAATTATTCACTCAAATATTTTATCTCCATTTCTCTATGTATGTTATGTTTCATTTTAAGATTCAACTGACATATTATCAGTGAGTTTAGCAGTTTAGTGGTCTAAACAGTGTTAGTATGTATTAAGAGTGGTAAATGAGTAATAGTCCATAAGTTAACATGAAGCATTTTGCTTTAATTATTAGTTTCACAATCTTTTAACTAGTTTCTTGAGCTTAATTTGGCACTTATATAACCAATTTAAACAAAACAAATATATGTTTATCTTGTGCTTTGTAGAAGCCTAAAAATTCATACTTCTTTTTAAGATGGATGTTTTTTGTGAGGGTTTTACTTGTTAAGAGCTACAGGCAAATAAAAGATTTAGGATAAGAAAGAAAAAACTAAGCTGACATACAGCACTCGCTGTGGCTCAGGAGGCTGAGGCAGGAGGATGCTGAGTTCAGAGCTTCAGCAACTTAGTGAGGTCCTGGCAACTCAGCAAGACCTTGTCTCTAAAGAAAATATAAAAAAGGGCTGGGGATGTGGCTCAGTAGTGTTCAATCCCAGTATCCCTCTCACTCAAAAAAAGAAAGACTAATTGATACATACATATTCCAACATAAAATAATCCTCATTGGTGACAAATACACTATCTTATTAGTGTATTTGAAAAGCGACCAACTTTCCTTCCCGAAAGTGTTTCTGCATTCTTTATTTGAATTGCCTATAATAAGACTGTATGCATAAACAAAACTAAAAGGATCATACTTACAGATGCAGGTATAAACATTCTCAATGCTTAAGTTTCAAGGTTTCAAAGTGATGACTAACTACAAATGAGGAAATAATTTATAAAAATTTTAGAAGCTAAAGAATGATTGAGGGGGGCTGGGGTTGTGGCTCAACAGTAAAGCACTCGTCTTGCACAAGTGAGACCCTGGGTTCAATCCTCAGTACCACATAAAATAAATAAGTGAATTAAAGGTATTGTGTCCAACTACAACAAAAAAATAATTTAAAAAAAAAATTGACTGAGGCTGGGGGTGATGGCAGACACCTATAATCCTTGTGGCTCAGGAGACTAAGGCAGGAGGATCTGAATTCAAAATCACCTTCAGCAACTTAGCAAGGCCCTAAGCAACTCAGCAAGAACCTGTCTCTAAATAAAATAAAAAGCCCTAGGATGTGGCTGAGTGGTTAAGTCCCCCTGGGCTCAATCCCAGGTACCAAAATAAGTAAACAGAATAAAAAATTATTTTAAAATTATTACTTATACAACAGTTCACTGGATCTCAGCATTGTGTTTGGAGAATCTGATTTCATCAAAAACAAACAAACAAACAAAAAACAGTTCTCTAAGGCCTAAAAGTTATGTCTTCTAGACTTTTAATGCTTTCGGCAAATATATATTCTTTTTTTTTTTAAATGAAATTAGCTCTCTAGAGTACTGTTTATTTCACAAGTAAAGTAAATTTAAGGCAGTTATTTCAATGACACTTCTTAATCATGATTGTGTGTTTTTGTTTTTTTTTTTGTTATTTTTTTTTTTTTTTTTTAATTTCAAATATATATTCTTCACCATACCTTTTGGAGGCTGCAGAAGCCTAGAATTTTCAAACAAATGCTTCTTTTTGATAGGTAAGATAACTGTATCTTTCAGATCCGTAATGACATCATCTAAACCTGCTATATCACTCCAAGTAACCTGGAAAAAGTTAAAGTCAATATAAATTTTACAACTAATGTATACTCACAAAGCAAAATCCACCCCCAATTGTAAACCATTACATAATCTGGTAATTTCAGATAAATAATAAAAAGTTAAAATTGTATATTAATATGAGTAAACACTTTGCAGCAATAATGATATTAATAAGCTCAGTGACACTTGAAAAAGGAATTTAGAAGTCAATTTCTTTCTATTTAAAAAAAATTAAATAAAGCATTAGGGCTCTGGATGTAGCTCAGTGGTAGAGCACTTCCCTCTTATGGGAGAGGCCTTGGGTTCAGTCGCCAGTGTCTTATGTGGGGTTAAGAATTTAACTGAATTCATTCCATTTGTGAGTAGAAAATACACTTCCACAAGAATACTGAGAAACAGCTTAAGATAATTAGCACTAGCTGATGGGGAAGAGTTTTGCCAGGAATGTACCTATTTTACATAAGATATTATCAACACAATAGGAATTTTAGAGATAAGGTGTATACTAATCAAACTGAACTTCTGATTTTTATTCATCAAAAGTAAAAACTGTCAAACTTATGAAGTGCTGGGAGCAGTTCTGTATGCCTGTAATCCATCTCAGCAACTCAAGAGTCTGAGATAGAAAGAGTGTAAATTTAAGGCCAGCAGGAGCAACTTAGTGAGGGCTTAAGCAACTCAGTAAGACTTTATATCAAAATAAAAAATAAAAAGGGCTGGGAATATAGCTCAGGGTAAAGCACCTCAGGGCTAAATTCTAAGTAACAAAAAGAAAAATAAATGCTATGGTTTGGATATGAGATTTCCCCAAAAAGTTCCTGTGTTAATGTAGGAATATTTAGAGGTGCAATGCTTAGATTAATGAGAACTGTAAACTAATCAATCCAACCTAATTTGAATGAATTAACCAGGTAGTAACTAGGCAAGTGGAACATGGCTGGAAGAGTGGGTCACTGGGAAAATGCCCTGTAAAGGTCCACATTCCCTGCAACCCCCTTCCCCTTTCTCTCTCTCTGCTTTGAAGACACTAAGAAGTGAGCAGCTTTTCTCTACCACACCCTTAGGCCATGATGCTCTGCTTCACCTTGGACCCAGAATATCTGACAGACCATCAAAAGAACCTCTGAAACTATAAGCTAAAATAAGAGTTTATTCACTTCCCCCAAGTTGTTCTTGTCAGGTATTTTGGTCACCAAAACAAAAAGCTGACTAACACAACCTATTTTCAAATAGACATGGAAAACCTTCTGAATCAAAATGTTTCTTTTAAATAAAGCTAAAAGGGACTAAAAAAAAAAAACAAAAAACAAAAGCTATATCTATATAGACATTTATATATATGTTTATAATTTTAATATTTGTGTGTGTGTGTATATATATATATATATATATATATATATATATATATATGTGTGTGTGTGTGTGTGTATATCCATCCATCCCATAAGCTGGGCCCACATCTGTAATGCCAGCAGCTCAGAAAGCTGATGCAGGAGGATGCAAGTTAAAGGCCAGTCTGGGCAACTTACTGAAACTCTGTCTCAAAATAAACTTTAAGGAAGAGTCTTGGGAGTGTAGCTTTAGTGGTAGAATGCTTGCCTATAGTGCACAAGGCCCTTGATTCAATCCCCAGTGCTGCACATACCTGCCCCTCCAAGGGGAAAAAAAAAAAAAACAGAAAGAGAAAAAGAAATCAACCTAGTTCTAAGCTAGCACAGTAAAAGGGTCATTCAGAAGCATTGCTTTACTTTTTTTTTTTTTTATAACTTAGGGGAAAAAGTGGGGTGGTGTTTTAGTCAGCTTTTTTTCACTGCTCTGACTAAAAAGACCCGACCAGAACAACTGTAGGGGAGGAAAGGTTTATTTGAGGGCTCATGGTCTCAGAGATCTTAGTCTACAGAAGGCAGGCTCCATTCCTCTGGGCTCTAGGTGAGGCAGGACATCATGGTGGTAGAGTGTGAGAGAGGGAAACAGCTCACATTATGATCAGAAAGCAAAGAGTGGGCAGTGGGAAAAGATAGAGAGACACTATCTCAAAATTAAAAGATAAAATATTTTTTAATCTCCAGATACAAAATATATACCCAATAGCCATGCCCCCAATTAACCATTTCCTCCGGCCACACCCCACATGCCTCCAGTTACCACTCAGTTAATCCCATCAGGGATTAATTCACTGATTAGGTTGAGACTCTCACAACCCAATGATTTCTTCTCTGAACCTTCTTGCATTGTCTCACACATGAGGTTTTGGCAAACAACTCAAATCCAAACCATAACCGGTGGGGATGTAAAACAGTAGCCAAATCTGAAGAAAATATTCATAATAGCTGGGAAAACATACTATCCCTATTGTGACTAACTCACACATAGATACATTTAGGGCCCTAAAAGATGTCATTGTAAAGTCATAAATTAAATTAGAGGCTTAAATCTAGGGATGTGTATATATGTCTCTCTATACACAAATATTAAAAGGTATTGCACATTTTTATTTTCTAGATTTAGAGATGGGTCTACCATATTTTACTCAATTTGTATCAATAACATTAATGTATTAGATAAATATATTCTAGCATATTTATATCTGTTGCTAATCAAGTATTCACATAGCATCTTGGAGTTTATAAACTAAATTAATCTAATCCTCAAAAAAATGTTTATGAAGTATATATACAGGTATTATGCTATTATCCCTGGGCTATAGACATCAGAACTGAAACTTGAGAAAACCATTTGCCAAGGTCACAAATAGAAAAACTGGGATTCAGAATCCTGTGTTGCTTACCATAACATACCATAAAAATTTAGATTTTAACTGGATACAGTGGCACATGATTATAATCCCAGAGGCTCAGGAGTCTGAGACAGAAGTTCAAAGCCAGCCTCAGCAATGTAGCATGGCCCTAAGCAACTCGGTGAGACCCTGTCTCTAAATAAAATATAAAAAGGCTGGGGATGTGGAGAAACCAGTGGTGAAGCACCCTTGGGTTCAATCCCTGGTACAAAAAAAAAAAAAAAAAGTCTAGATTTAAACTACACAAATCAAAACACCCATATGAGGAAAGAAGTTTTATAAAACAATGAAAAATACATAAAATTACAAGTTTTCCTAGGCAAATGTGTTCAAAATGAGTTCAGAAAAGAGTAAAATAGCAGGCCTAGCATTTGGGAACTTGAGAGTTCCCACAATTCCTTGACAACAGCTCACTGTTCCTAAACAGTGTGTGCCAATGATGTGGTTTATGGTTAATATCACTTTTCCTTCTGGGAGTCTAGAATTTCAAAACACGTAAGGAAGATGAGGACTACATGAATAGCCCCCAATTAAAAACCCTGAACTGTGTCTCTATTAAGCTTCCTAGAAGACAATACTGCACATGTGTTGTCACAACTTATTGATGAAAGAATTAAGCATGTCCTTATGACTTCAAGTGGAGGGAATTCTAGGAAGACTGTGCCTTTCTCCAGACTTTACTCCATTCCCTTTTCCCTTTGCTGATGCTGCCTTGTACCCAGAATAAATCATATCTGTGAATACAATTACGTTTTAAGTCCTGTGATTCCTCCTAGAGAATCACTGAACCTACTCATAATCTTCCACACCTTTAATATAGAACACTAGCCAAAATACATAAATCATAATAAGATTAAGGATACATACATGCATGTTAAGAGGATCTACCAGATGAGCAGCAATACTCATTTCATATTCTGAAAGCTTCACATTTTTCACACCAATTTGCTTCATAAGTTTTTCTGCCTAGAAAGAAAAAACAAGCGATCATTGTTAGTTTGATATTAGTTACTGGTATTTCAAGATAGATAGAAAGACAGATAGTCTAAAAAGCAATAAATAAACAAGAATCTTCAAGGACTATTCTAGGTTTCTTGGTCTTATCCTTCCCTATTGTGAGACACTAAGAATTATAAGAAAAAAATTTCCACTCCACAGAAACCAGGGCAATTTAACCAGCTCTTGGGAAATGAGAAAATAGAATACAAGACTGAAGAAAGGATGTACTTCATAATATGGCCTCATATGGTTTCAAGGAGACCTTAGGGTACAATGTGGTTTCTCTGACCTAGTAGAATGAACACACAAGAAAAGGTAAAACCTCAAGATAAAAGTCCAAGTAGCTAAGGATACCAAGAAATGTACAATTGGTGTTTCTTTCCTTAAATTAGCAGAGAATCTAAAATAGATATCCAACTGCCTTCAAATTATCCAGGTATCTACGACAGGTGTCTGTAAATATCTAACTTAGAATGTTTTGAGACACTGTCCCTTTCAGTTAAGAGTCAATTCCTGGGAGCTGGGGTTGTAGTTCAGCAATAGAATGCTTGCCTGGCATGTGTGAGAGGCTCTGGGTTTAATCCTCAACATAAAAATAAATAAAAGTATTGTGTCCATCTACAACTAAAATAATAATAATGTCAATTTCTGGATCTAGTTAACCAAAGATAATAAAATGACTCTAAATAACGTGTGTGTGTGTGTGTGTGTGTGTGTGTGTGTGTGTATGTATGTATTCTGGAAGTAGGGCAAAATTAGTTTTAAATCTCTGAGTTCTAGCAATGCAACAAATGTTTGAAGGCAAACATTTTCTGAGTGTGCCAAAGACTATGCCAAAAGAGTAAACAGATGAAGTCATTGAATCTTCAGAGTGATCCTATAAAGTAGAATGATTTTTCCCCTATCAAGGAAAAAGAAACTGAAGCTTAGCATGATTAAGTAATTTGCCTTAGATGAAAGGTTAACAAATGTAAGAGGCAAGATCTGAATCCAAGCCATACAACTATGGAGCACATACTCTAACCACCACACATATTTGCCTTGGTTTCTCTACTTAAAATGCAGAGGGCTGGGGATATAGTTCAGTTGGCGGAGTACTTGCCTCACATGCACAAGACCTTGGGTTTGATCCCCAGCACCACCAAAAAAAAAAAGTCTTCATAAATCTATATATACATTAAAATTTCAAATAAGTGAGCATTTTAGAATAAAGGTACTCTAGTATATCATGTTTTAAAATGTTACAATTTTTGTTACGTTTTCCTAAGATGCTTTTGCTGATCTTGCTGTTTGTCAGGGATATCGCTGTTCTATAAAGGAAATTCATATCACAGAGCTTATGCTTACAGTTTAGCTAGGTTATTAGGAGAAATATGTGTTAGTCATATCCTGGTAATACCTCTTCTAAAAAAGTGCTATAAAGGGGGAGGGCTGGGGTTATGGCTCAGCGTTACAGCACATGCCTAGCATGTGCGAGGCCCTGGGTTCGATCCTCAGCACCACGTAAAAATGAATAAAGTAAAGGTATTGTGTCCAACTACAACTAAAAAATAATAAGTCATATCAGATAATCACATAGAATAAATTTTCAATTTTTCACTTCCTATGAAATAAGTAACCTTTTCCAGGTTCCTTTATCTCTTGAAAATGCCTTCTCTTTCACTGTCTGTAAAGCTTTTATGTGTCAGCTATGGAAGGTATCTTATTTTAGCACTGGTAAAGACATTAATTTATTCTTCTTTTTCATTATGCTGCTATAAATGTGAAGCCATCCTATATGTGTTCTTTTAGGGCAATGCTCTAAAACAGTAGATTTCAACTGGGGAAATGTGGTCCCCTGGAGATATTTGGCAATGTCTAGAAATACTTCTAGCTAGCACACTTGGAGATGGGGAAGAAGGGGCTATCGGCATCTAGACCATTGAAGCAGGGATGCTGTTAGTCATTCTATAATGCACAAGAAAGCCCCCCTCCACCCAGCACTATATACGACTAAAATGCACCAAGAGCCAGGCACAATGGCACATGGCTATAATCTCTGCGGCTCTGAGGGCTGAGGCAAGAGAATTCTGAGTTCAAAGACAGCTTCAGCAACTTGGCAAGGCCCTAAATAGCCTCGTGAGATACTGTCTCAAAATAAAAAGCTCAAAAAAAGGGGCTGGGGATGTGGCTCAGTAGTTAAGCACCCCTGGCTTTAATCCCTGGTACCAAAAAAACAGGTAGGAAAATTACTTTTTACTGAATACCCACCCTCTTTAAAAAAACTATTTTACACTATTTTTTTTTTTACCCTTTCACATTACTTTATTACCCATTCTTGCTATTTTTTTTCTTCTTCATGTGAAGTACAATTATTAAAAGCTGTTAAGAAGTGGAATAGGAAAAAAAAAATGAAGAAGAAGTAGTGGGATAGGAAACAGTGAACTACTATTTTTGCCTAGAATGGGGAAGGAAGAATTAAGGAAAAGGAGTAATAGAAAAGGAACTATTATGCGTAACACTCATTTCATTCAGGTTCTAAAAGATTCGTAAGATTAACTGTCCTTTTGGAAGAATAATTTTAGGAAGTTACTTTAACAACTTAAAATGAAAAACACAGAGGAACTAATTAAACAGATCAGAAACAAGGACAACCTATGATTCTTTCACTGAGGTCACAGCTGAACTGCTCCATTTTAAGTGTAGGTAGAGGAAATCATTGATAAACTATCTTAAGAAATGCACTTAAAGCAGAACTAGCAGAGAATTTGAGTATCTTTACATGTTAAGTATAAGCCCTTATTATCACAAACTTTTAATAAAGACTAGAAACATCTTTTTCTAGGAAATGTGGAGACAGGAAACTTCTTTGTTAGCATTAGTGTACTTATTGTCGTAATATTAGGGTAATATCTGATATTACCGTAGGGTTCTGAAAGCTCCTGGGTAAGATATCTGTACTATAGTGCTCTTCTACTATGCTTATGTATAAAACTCAATGCTAAACTGAGTTTTTTTCTCCTCCTCTTGTTTCCTTTTTTACTGCTTTTCTTTCCTTATTCCTCTATCTACTCTCTCACTCAGACAATACTGTACATTCCTTACGGATTTCCTATCTTAATTTCCTATTGACCTTACCTTTTACTGTTCTAAGATTTGGTTCCAGTAAATCATACGCTTTAAAAGTCACATGATTGATGATACAGTGATACAGTTTTACAACTGTTTTCTGGGGTAACAAATGATAGTTCTTCCAATTGTCATTATATGATGGCTACTTTTAAAATTACTTAGCAGCTTAGAGTTTCAGTTTAATGTTCCAGTGTACAGTTCTTTATAAAGCATTTGAGGTATTATTTCTCTCAAAATAATGGAAACAAAATTTGTAAGATTATAGTTGTAATGACAGTATGACAAACAGGAAGAAAACTAAGGCCACAGTTACACAGTTATGTACATTATCTTCCTGTATATGACGAATTTTGGGTACTGAATCTTTTCTGTGATTTATTACTAAATAAATCTATCTCAGGAAAAGTATATAGTCTTACTAATGTGACAAACAAAATACTGCATTTATAAATGCCCACAACAGTTCCAGTATGAATCACTCATTCTGTACATTAAAGCTCTTCTTTACTGGTCATGTTGAGGTTTGAATTCAGGTGTTGCACATGTTAGGTAAGCACTAACATATCTACAGCTCTTTTTTGAGAAAGGGTCTCCCTAAATTGCCTCAACTTGCAATCCTCCTGCCTTATCCTCCCCCAAATAGCTGGGATTACATGCAAGTGCCACAATACCTAGTTTAAAGCTTTTAAATAAAATAACCAGGTGCAGTGGCACACACCTGTAATCTCAGTGAACAAGGCTGAAGCAGGAGGATCGTGAAGTTCAAACTTAGCCTGAGCAACTTAGCAAGGCCCTGAGCAACTCAGCAACTCAGCAAGACCTTAATAAAATATAAAAAAAGGCTGGGGATGGAGCTTGATGGCAAAGTACCTCTGGGCTCAATCCTTGGTACAAAATAATAATAATAATAATAATAACAACAATAATGTCCCAATTAATAATATCCACTGTTTATTACAGAGACGTCTATCAAAACTCTCCTATTACATTTAAGTATGGTCCAAACAGCAGCATATATCCAGAAAATTCCTGTCCCTCTATAACATTCTGCGGGAACCATTAAATATCCTATATTCTCACAAGCTGGAAGCTTTCCTGACTTCAAACTAGAAGTTATTTACAAATATCCCATTTAATCCAACAAAAACTACCTCCAGGTTAATACTCCTGATTTCAGTGCAACTATGCCATCTTTTACCTTGCACCTTTCAAACTGTAATGCCTTTATAATCACATAAGGGCCAAGTATGGTGGCACATGCCTATAATCTCAGTAACTTTAGGAGGCTGAGACAAAAGGACTGCAAATTCAAGGCCAGCCTCAACAACTTACTGAGGTCCTAAACAATTTAGCAAGACCCTGCCTCAAAATAAAAATTAAAAAGGGCTGGGGATGTAGCTTAGTGGTCAAGTGGCCCTGGGTTCAATACGCAATACCCACCCCCCAAAAAAAATCACATGAGGTCTACTAATAATCTGGCAACCTCTAAGAAGTATTTTATATCTAAGCTTTTAGATTCCACATTCTTTCTGACCAAAGTCATATTTTTCTTCTCTCTCATTCACATCTGATTGTTGCTCTTAAAGTGTACTATAATTCCTTAATTCCTGGAAATTCTCCAACTGAATTATTCCCCTATCTGGCAATATTTGACTTCCTACATAGGCTGAACTATAAGGTCAGATAAGGTTAGATAATGCCCTCCTCAGAACCCTTTAACACTTCTAATTAGCATTATCCCCAATGCTGGTTCAGCACTACCATACTCCCAGACACTAAGCTGCTAAGTAATGCTTGAATAACAAGGACTAGGATTGTAGCTTAAAGGTAGAGGGGCTTCCCTATCATGTGTGAGG